TACTGTGTTGAGTCTGGGATTACAAGGCATAAGAATGTAGCAGGTACTCATCAACAAAATGGCTTAGCTGAAAGATTCAATCGAACAATCCTTGAAAGGGTTAGATACATGTTGGTTAGTGTTGGATTGAAGGAGGTGTTTTGGGTGGAGGCTATTTCGAGAACAACTTATTTGATAAATAGATGTACCTCGACTGCCTTGAGAATGAAGACACCTGAAGAAGTTTGGTAGAGTCAGCCACCAAATCTCGACAAACTGAGAGTATTTGGTTGTTTAGCCTATGCTCACATTAGGCAAGATAAGGTCAAACCTAGATCTCTGAGATGCATGTTCCTTGGATATCCTGAGGGAGTCAAGGGTTATAGATTGTGATGCCTATAACCAGGTCACAAAAGATGTACCACAAGTCGTGATGTAGTTTTCAATGAAGTCGAAATGGCGTTCAAGAAAATTGGTGATGCTGGTCGAAGTGCAGAAATCTCTGAAGAGGAGCTGGAACAGGTAGAGATTCCTATTGAGGTAGAGAATAGTGATGCTAATGTGCATAATCCAGATCAAGTCGAAGAAGAAAAGTAAGATCCTAAAGAGGCTGAGGAAACTATTGATGACTACCTACTGACAAGAGATAGGTCGATAAGAGTCAACAAGCCACCTCAAAGACTTGGTTATGCAGATCTTATAACTTTTGCCTTAATCTCTGCAAGTGAGGTACTTGACGAAGAACCTAAAGATTACAAGGAAGCTATGAGGAGTCAAAATTAGACTGAATGGCGAGAAGTCATGGATGACAAGATGAAATCTCTTCATAATAATAACACTTAGGAACTGATTGAGAAACCTACAGGAGCAAGGTTAGTCAGTTGTAAGTGGATTTTCAAGGTCAAGGAAGGAACTGAAGGAGTAATGTTGAAGCGCTTTAAGGCAAGGCTGATTTCTAGGGGGTTCACTTAGAAAGAAGGTGTCGACTTCAATCATGTGTTCTCATCTGTTATAAAGTATAGATGAAACGATCTTGATGCGTCAACCTGAAGGAGGATAACATTTTCAAGGGGCTTCCCCTAGCCATTAATAACGTGTTGTAATCCCCTTTCAGTCACGTAGCAGCAGGAATAAATGATTTTTTTAGTTTGATTTGACTAAAGCATTTACATTGGTGAGAGGAAGCCACTCGCAAAAGGCATATCATAAATTGGTGAGGGGTAATCCCCTCGCAAATTGAAACAATTGTCAACCTATTTTGGCGCTGACCCTTAGCAAATGCAAGTTTCAAATTTCAAAATCTTTTCCCTCCTTCTTTGCGAGGGGTATCCCCTAGGATTTTCTTTACATTTTTTTGCTTTTTATTTTATGCATTGCGAGGGGTTTAACACCAAGCAACTTAGGTTTTTTAGTGAGGGGTTTTACCCCTAGCCAATGCCCCTAGCTAATATCAGCTTTTCTTGTAGTGTTTAATCAATTCCTAAATCAAAATGGTAGTATGTATCACCTTATATGTCCATATACTCGTCACTTAAATAGAGTAGTTGAAAGAAAGACATACAAATGCTAGAACTAGGTCTAACATCACTTTCTAAAAAAGCCTTACCCTTACCCTGTTAGGATTATGCCTTCCTCACTAGTGTGTACCTCATAAATAATCTCTTTACCATTGCATTTAACTAAGGTATTCCTTACACTAAACTCTTTCAACAATCAACTATTTATTCTTCCTTAAAACCCATGGTTGCTCAAGTTTTACTTTACTTAGACCATACAATAAAAACAAACTAAAGTATATGTCCCAATAATATCTATTTCTTGACTATTCCACCTCTCACATGGAAAATTTCCTTTCTCCGATGGCCGCCTCTACATATCCACAAATGTCATATTTAATGAACACAAATTTCCTTACCTCAAATTAAGAATTTCACATAATCTCACATGCCCTTCACTCGACCTCATCCCTGGGTCAATACCATAGCATATGACCTTTATATTAACCTCAAATTCACCCATTAATCTCTATATGAATTCACATTTATCAATACAAAATTCACCAGATCAACCTTTTTACAATCTCTCTCTCTCTCTCTCTCTCTCTCTCTCTCTCTCTCTCTCTCTCCTACTCTTTTAATTCATACCCTTCACCATCTCTCATTGAAATGACACATCTTTCCATTATACATGTAAACCAACCTAAGCTTATCTCATTCTAACTAGATAAAAAAAACAATGATCACTCACCCAATAATAAAACCACTAAATAAAACCTTTATCACCTTACTTGGATAACTTCTATGTAACTTTAGTATGATGTTCTCTTAAAGAACAATACTTGGTCCCTTGTGTCCTTTCAATCTAGCAGGATTCCCATTGGTTGCAAATGGATCTTCAAAGTCAAGGAAAACCTTAATGGCTCAGTATACAAGTACAAGACTAAATTAGTGACTAAAGACTTTTGTAAATATATTATAGTTGAATACATTGAAATGTTTAGTCAACTTATCAAAATTTTCATAGTATGAATCATTGAAACCTTGAATTTTTGTAAACATTGGCTACTACAATAACTTGATGTCAACAATGTATTCTTAAATGACTTTGATGAAACTTTGAGCATGACTCAATCATTTGACTTTGAAAATTCAAATAAATCTATGGTTCACAAGCTTCACAATGCTTTATATGATCTCAAATAGGCCTTAGGGCTTAGTTTGAAAACTTTAAAGCCAACTCCTTAAATTTGGATTTCAATGAAACAAGTATGACTATTTTCTTTTCATTTATTCTAAGGAAAACACTATCATATGCATACAAGTGTATTTGGATGACAAAATTGTTACAGGCAACAACAACCATACACCATTCAATAATTGGTCATATAGTTAAACTATGTCTTCTTTCTACAAGAACACCAAAAAATTTTGACTACTTCCTAGATGTAGAATATATACCTATAAGAAAAACAACTCTTTACGTTTTACACAAAGTTTGTACATATGAGATCTTCTTTCTAAAACCAACATGCAATAAGACAAGTCGTTACCTTCCCCTATGATTATTGGTTCTAAACATTATGTTCCAGTCTGGGTCAAGACCCAACCCACATAGTGTCGGGTTACTAGGTCTGAGGAGATGAGGTATATAACAAGATGGAAGTGTCATATCCATACACCTAACCAGGGTCGTTAGATTATAATCGATGTTAAATTCTCTATCAACCTCCCTCTAAAGCAGTTGTCCTAATGAATAGTCTAGAACCTCAGAGTCACAAAATGGTCACTCCCTAACAATGTATCAAATCATATTCAGCTAAATGTTTAAGAACTATCATATATAAAGGACAACTAAATCACGTGACATCTGTCCTCTGAGACAACTTTCTCAAACGAAGATTCTAGGGCCTGTAAACCTAGAATCTGAATATAAAGTTAGGAGAACATTTCAGACCCATGTACTAATTATTATAAACCCTAAACCTCACACTTACGACTATCACTGACTTGATCGTCGAAGTACTTACAGTTCAACCCCATTAAGCATATTCAAGAAGGACCTTCATACTAAAGTTCGCCAAACAACATTATCATAAACATCATTTGAAGGGAAATATGCTAACCTAGCCCTTTATAGGTCAATAGTGGGTGCCATGGAAGATGTCATATCTTTTTGTTGTAAACAATATGTGTCAATTCATGTCAGAACCTCTTCATGTCAGAACTTCTGGAATCACATTCGACTACATTCAAAATGACCTTTAGATATCCAAACGAAAATATCACATAAGGTCCCTATCTAAGGCTATCACTAGTTATGATTTTTCTCTACTTGCTTATTGTAATGCTAACTAGAACTCTGACCTTGGTGATAAAAGCTCAATCTTTGGTGTTTGTGGTGTCATAGGACCCAAACTGATCTCATGGTGAGCAAAGAAGCAACCAATCATCTGAAGATCTAATATAAAAGCAAGTCTGATGCTTTAGAAATCCATTGGGACTAGTCTCTCCTTACTAAGTTTGGCATTCCTTACTCCGCTCTAACTATTTTGTGTAATACCTAGAACGTTATTGTCCTTGCTCACGACCATGCTCTTCACGCCTGGACCAAGCACGTGGAGTTGGACTTTTTTGTAAGAGAAAAGTGCTCAACAAACAACTCATGGTTACTGATGTTCCTGGTCATTCTCAATGTGCTAACATTTTCACCAAAGCTTTTTCTCCTTCAAGATTTGAAGATTTAAGAAACAATCTGACTATGTGTGGCTCTACTCAACTCACACCCACATCACTTTAAGGGATGCATCAAAGGAATAGATCAAGGCTTACTAACTAAAAGTAAAAGAGCATAACTTAATGAAAAATCCTGACTATTTCTTATATGGATATGGTCTAATACTGCCATGTTTGAGTTCTGATGAGACTTTTAGGTCTAGTAAAGAATGCTTGGGCTCCGTTTAAAAGTCACTAACATTGGTTGGAAATTTTACATTTGGCATCATTAGGCAATGGTCTAGGTAAAGGAAAATGTTAACATTGTAAGTTGATATTTGGAGAATTTAACATCATTGTAATGGCTCATACCAAGTGTTGGTATGTTGTTGTAGACCCAGTTTACAATGATACAAAATATCATATCATGTTGTATATGTAGCAATTTTAAAACAAGGCATATTCAGAAGGAACCTTAACAGTCGCTTAATCAGTGCATTCACATCAAATTAACATAGCATGCATATCAAACAAATCAGGAAGTATTTCAAGAACAATTTTAAACAACATAACATAAACACAACAAAGGCATCGGCTAACAACCAAGCTGCTCTGTTCTCAATAAAAACAGACTGCATTAATAAATATTATCAGTTGCAGTACAACTTTACCGAACCAAATCATCCAAAAATATTATCTTACATGATAATTATTAAAGTATCTTGATAAAATATAGAAAACAAAAATGAACTTTTTAGCTAACATAACAAAAGACTATTTCGTCCATCAGAAATCTCTATTGAATGTTGATCACCATCCATGATTGCGCCATTGCAAATGTCGACCAGGAATTCTTGTAGAAGAGTGGTTACGCCTGGGATTAGTATGAGAAACTTGTTGACCACCAGGAGGATTAGTCTGAGAAACTTGTTGACCACCAGGAGTTCTTCTATAAGAAGAATAGTTGTGCCGGGAATTAGTATGAGAAAATTGTTGACCAAGAATTCTTCTAGAAGAATAGCTGTGTTGGGGATTAGTATGAGAGACTCGAGGCCGCCTTGTTGACGATGTTCTGCCCCTAGGGCTCAACTCTCTATAATAATTTTCAACAATTTCACTGTGAGCCTGAGCCATTCTTGAGGGTGGAATATTTTCTCTCCATCTAGCAGTACTATTTGCCCCCTGATCACGGGACGATGACGAAATGGATCTCCATCCACTGCTATCAATTCTCTCCCATTGATGTGTTGAAGGTAAAGTGAATCTCAATCCACCTCTTTCAATTCTCTCCCCTTGATGTGTTGAAGGTAAAGTGGATCTTCGTCTAGCGGGTTGATTTGTCTGTGTATTATTTGATACCCCGCGCATCGTTTCAGATCTTCTGTCGTGCGATGGCATTGTAGGCATTGGATAAGACATTTCAGGCAACGTAAAATGTGTAGAAGAAAAAATGGATCTCGGTGTAGCAGATTGAGTTGTCTGTGTATCATTTGGTATCACGTAGATTGTTTCAGATCTTCTGTCATGTGATGGGGCTCTAGGTGTTGGATCAGAAAATAAACTAGTCACAAAACCATCTATATCAGGGGAGTACATTTCAGCCGCTAAGATGGACATCATGTCTGCTAAACCCCCAGCCCAATGCATGACATCTTCTTCTCCACTGTAATCAGCACCAGAACTTGCACTGATTGAGCTAAAAAGATCTTCAAAGTCTCTTTGCTGTTCCATCCTTGACCAGTCATGCCACCGTGAGAAATCCACCTCTGATGGCCGAACAGAAGGATGCTCCAGCCTAGCATGCTTTCTGAGTTCTGGATATGTTCCCTGGAATTCACACGTCTCAGACGAACAAGTCCTTCGTTTACCATTCATATACCTTCGAGCAGGCTCCGATACCATATATCCATATACTCCTCCCCGACAAAGAGGACAGATAAGCTTTGGTTGCAACTGACTCACAAATTGAGGGGGGTTCACAACCTCTGACCGAACTTTCTTGTCATGAGGCGCTGTTCTTATGAGCGGAATTTCTTCTAGTTTTGCCGACGATAGATGAGAATCAAATGACTTGCAGAATTGGTCGAGACAGTTGGAGTGTCTGTAACTAGTATTGCACATGTAAGGACGACAACCAAACTCATACGAAGAACACTTCAGAATAACAGTGTTATGAGGAGTTTCCATGCAAATAGAACATCTAGTATCATCCCATTCTTTCCAATCCTCGGCGGATCCAAACCTAGGTTTAGGCAGCTCAAGATTCTTGGAACTGGAACTGGAAGGATAGGGATATGATTCACTGCAATCCATAGCCGGAGACTTCTCTCTTCTAACTTTTGGCATTTTTTTGACTTGATGTCACCGCTTTAAAAAGAAATCTATAACCAAAAAATTAGCTGATGAATAAAACAACACCAATATAACATTCTTAAAAATACAGTCTTAAACTATGAAACAACACCAATATAACATTCTTAAAAATACAGTCTTAAACTATGCACATATGCACATATCAAGAACCAAAAAGAAAAAAAAAACATACATGCAAAAAAAAAGTTTTCAAACATGTTTCAAAATTACAAACCTAGTTTTGAAGGCAAATTTACAAAAAAAAAAAAACTCGACAATCTGGTCAGCAATTGTTCGGAGGAATTGCGGAAAGCATCTAACGACAACGTAAATGTAAAACAATATCGTCGATTATTAACAAAAGTACGAGGTTGATCGTGAACAGCGAAACACATAAAAAAGATAAACATGAAAATTGATAGAGGGAATAGGAATTAGGGTTAACCTGATTGAAATTGAAGCTTGAAGATTGCAGTGATTCGAGATCAACGAGTTTGATTCAGTAAATAATAAGGGTTTGGGTTTTTTTATGTGAAAAATTAAGAAAGACCCGTTAATTATATAGTCCAGAAGTTTGTTAGTGGATCAATAATAAAATAGGGTTAGTTAAGTAAATCTTTAGGTTTGTTAGTGGATCAATAATAAAATAGGATTAGTTAAGTAAATCTTTTGTTTGTTAGTGGATCAATAATAAAATAGGATTAGTTAAGTAAATTTTTTTGTTATTAGTTAAGTAAATCTTTTTGTTTTCTTGACTAAAGTGATTTTTTTTTTTTTTACAAAAGAACGCTTAAGACTTTTCAAAGTAAATCTTTTGGTTATTAGTTAAGTAAATTTTTTTATTTTCTTGATTAAAGTGATTTTTTTTTTTTTTTTACAAAAAAACGCTTAAGACTTTTCAAAATATTGAAGTAAATTTTTGTCAGACTATTCAATCTTAAATAATTAGCTCTGATGTGTCTTGGTTTTTTTTTAGAGTTGGATCAGAAAAATTCTATTCTAATAATATGTATTCAAATATTACTATTCAAGTCTGACTCTTTATAAATTTTGAATTATCCGACTCAAAATAAATTTTTTTAATTTTTTTATATTTATACAATAATTAAAATAAAAACATCATAATATATTATGAGTACAATAAAAAAATTATACTATTCTAAATATAGTATAATTTTCATAAATACTATAATATGTGTTTGAATATAATACCTATCGAAATTATATAAAATAGTAATATTTAAATATTTAACATAAAAAAATTGTGAGGTAAAATTTAAAACGCATTTAGTTATATTAATAAAACATAATTGTGAAATAAAAGACAAACTAACTAAATATTAATTGCTGACATATTTAGTTATATTACAATTGCTGACCAGATTGTCGAGCTTCTTTTTTTTTTTTTTTTAATTTGCCTTCAAAACTAGGTTTGTAATTTTGAAACATGTTTGAAAACTTTTTTTTTTGTATGTATGTTTTTTTTTTAAAATAAAACACAAACTAACTAAATATTAATTTAATTATATTAATGTATAATATTTAAAAAAGATAAAATTTGTGAGGTAAAACAAATTAATATGTTGTTTTGGAGTGAGATAACATAAATATTAATATAAATTTTTAAAATATATAGTTATACGGGACTAACGAACTACTCACGGCCTATACAGACTATGTCTAATGGTAGCGAGTTTTTTAGGGTTGGACTAAAAAAGCCCTAAAAAATTTGAGCTCTAAGCCGAAGTCCTATGATTTTTCAAGTTTAGCGGACCAACTCATATAGACTAACCCATTTTGACGGCTCTAATATTGTGGATTCGAATCCACTTCTATATAGCTGATGTATTTGTATAACCACCAACTGAATTAGTTTAACGAGATTAAAAAAATATTTTAGGTTGGCCCCAATTCACTGTTACTTCTTTTTAGCCCATAAGTAGACATTCTAATTTGTTTGAATAAGCTCTATAAACAATGAATAAAACTCTAACAATACCAATGTGAAACTAACATTATATGAGCAATGCAAGAGTTCTTAAATTTAATACTTTATGTGTATTCTTCTATAGGAAGGCAAGTGCAGCCAATGGAACCATCTTTGAGCAATGCAAATGATCTCCAGTTAGTCCAAAACCTTATGTAAGATGACATTGTTTTGTAATGTCAGCCTTGTAAAGTTTTCAACACTTATAATTCAAGTTGATATGGACACGATTCAAGGCATCTAATGTTCATCCACTTGCCATTAATTCATTCATGCTTCAGCACTTGGAAAATTATCTACAAGCACTTGAAGAAATATTGCTTAACGAATGAACAAAATTCTACTCGTGACAGTTGCAATAGTTAAGTAGCACACTATCTATCACAATGGTTGTAACACCTCAATTTTTCGTTTAATTATTTAATTAAATTAATTTGCATATTTGAGTAATTTAACATGCTTAGATTATTTTATATATTTTAATTGATTTAAATTGAATAATTGCTTTATGTGTGTGGGGTGCAGTGAGAAGAATAGAGTAGTATGATAATAGTGTAGAAGTGATGGAATAATTAAAATAATAGTGTTTTAATTAGGGTAATGTTAACTTGTGCCCTTGGGGCACATGTTAAAAAAATCCACAAATAGAAAATAAGTATTGGAAAGAACAATAAAATCATTAATGTTAAACTTATACTAGTAGAAGACCCGTGCGTCCGCATGGGTATGAGAAAAAGTATAATCTTATCGAGTTTAAATTTTACAAGAAAAAATATATTCAAATGTATATTAAGAATAATATTTATGCAGGTTTTTATTTATTTGAATCTAACTAATAATATCTCGTGTAATTTTATGAAATATTTCAATCACATTTTAATCATTATAGTGAAAAGGTTGAAATACATAATCAATTAAATAAAAACCTAGTAAAAGATCAGATGCGTCCGTATAGATAAGATTAAGATATATTTTAAATAGAAATTTTAATAAATAAAATTTCATTCTATCTAATTCTAATTCTATTACACTAAATTTTATGATAAAGCTACACAAATGATAATTAAATCAAATATATAAACCACTTAATCGAAATCAATGATTTATAAGTAAAAGAGTCCAAATCTATAGTTACCAACACTAACATAATATTCTTTAGAACATAATTTTGCAGTAGCTTCACACATAACATTATGGGTAACATATAAGGCCTTTGAATGACAATTCTTGAGGATTCTATTGCTCATGGTCACCAAGATACAAAGAAATTGAACAAAATCACTATATTTCGCCTTCAATATTTACATGTCAAATATTTATTGCATTGCTTTGTACTACAGATCCAAATATAGATTTCAATAGTCTTTAACTCGAAAGTTAAAATAAATTTAAATAAATAATTAGAAAACATGTAAAATAAAATATTGATTTATTGATTGGTATCTGAAATAAATTGTTTGAATCAAAACAAAATTAGAGAAAAAATAAATAAATCTTCAGCCATGAAATCACGCAGTCATAATGCTAATAATCGTTACATAGAAATTAAACGAAAATGGAGAACTGTTGAGGGTATTGTTAATGCTCCGGAAAAATCGTGGGTTATGTTACCATCTTGGTCTTGTTTGTAAGTTGGTTCGGCAGAACTTTCTTCTTCTCTGCTTTCATCAGGCATGCTATCCACTTCAACCATGCCAGGATCTCTTAATGTATCTTTATTAACAGAATCATCAGTCCCTAACTCCACTGCAAGAACAAAATATCAGCTATAAGATTTTCAATATTCATGTGGTATATTCTAAAAAAATGTCTATAAATTTGATCGATAACCTTAGAAGCCTGGATACATAATACGATACGGATACAACACGAAACGAATAAGTGATTTCACAAAACTCATAGGGAAGTCAATATGTTTCTTTGGAAAATTAATCATCATTTGGAAACTCAGTAACACGTGTTATCTTATCACGCAGAAGAAAAATCCAGAACCAGACAAAAAATTCAAAAAGTAAGAAGTATTTGAATACAACTTATATACCTTATGAGGTCTCATTGTTCTTGGATTTCCTTCAGCAAGAATGTCCAGGCCATATATTTCTGCAGCTCGTGAACTCGCAATAGCTCCAATGTGTCTTACACAATTTATGGCCATTGTCTATTCACAAAATCTTAATATATCTGTATCACTATCACGCCAAAAAGAGAATGTGAACTTCTAAATGTACATGTAGGCATTGGAGGTTGAAACTTAATTCGAGTTTGGCTTAATTCAGGTTGGCTACTGTTCGGACCTGGATATTGCAAGTCCGGCTTAATTCGTGTTGGCTACTGTTCGGACCTGGATATTGTGAGTAGAGTGCAACCTCCAAATGGGCTGCCTTCCACTTTGTACAAGGGCTACTTCTACTTTAACCATTCCATTCTTCTGCATACGGAAACAATACGTGAGGTCACGGAAAATTAAAATGGAACTTTTGTTTGAGCAGTTGACGTTTTAATAGGTAATTGCAACGTTAAGCATTTGTTTGTATCAGTAGCAAGAAGTTCAAAAATGCGTAAAGGTTAATAGTTAAGTATTGCATGCACGAATAAATCGATACATGGTTGAATGTTTGAATGTAAACTGTATCAGCAAATAAGGAGTAGAATTACTATATACGTAACATTTAAAATACCAAAGATATCCTTCAAAAATTACCTGCAACAAATCCAAGGCTTTTGTGAATGTCTCTTCAGAATCCTCAGAGAATTGCATGTAAATAGGACAGACTCCTTGATACAAAGCCAGCCTTTGTTGTACTCTTTTCTTGCATGGCCGTGAGAATTAGGTAAACCACAAATTTGTCAGTTATAAATTATAATAAGTGGAGACAAACAACTTAAAATAAAGGGTACAACAAAGGGTGACTTTGTGAGAACACTGTTACATTGAAGACGGAATTCGATTTTTTCTACACCCAAAAATGCAACATCACTGTCTAGTGGTTCACCATTGCCTATAATA